GGTGGTTCTAGAGGTCTTTAGTTCTAATGGTTCTGTATTTGGTCCAGTTGGTGGTTCTAGAGGTCGCATGCTCGCGGCCCTTCACTGTGGTCTCTACCTTCAGTTCTATGTAGGAAACAAAACAAGAGGTTTGTTCTGTAAGAATATTCAGAGAACGTTACATCGTTGATGGTCATGTTGGAGAAGACCTTCTGTCTCACCGACTGTCTGTCCATCAGACTCTGGTGTGTTCGGCGTTCCTCTGAACTCACTGTTGGAGAACGACAAGAAAAAGTTTCCTGGAGTCAAAGTTCCTGTCATCTTCCAGAAGGTAAAGAACCCGTCTGTCTCTCTGCCTGGCAGCTGAGATGTTAGCTTAGCATCTCTACTGATTCCTGAAGAACCACATGCTAATGTGGCTGTGTGCTACCAGCTGACTGTTCCCATGATGCACTCTGTTTTTGTAGCTGTTGTGTATCTTAGAGCAGACAGGGCTGCAGACGGAGGGGATCCTCAGAGTTCCAGGATCCGCTGCCAGACTGAAGGTAGGACGTCCAGCTCAGAGGAACCCACAGACCCTCACTCATCCTGCACGCTAAACACACTCGTGTTCCCCACTGCACCACACATGGCTCTACTGTCCTTGTGAGGACCCTCAACTTAAACCTCAGTGTTTTCATTTAAACGCTCTGAACCACAGCATCAGTTTCTGGTCCTGCAGCTCTGTGGAACCAGAACCACACGAAGGAGGAGACAGAACTCAGAGAGGTTTTCGGTCAGCAGGACTCAGTTACAAATCATTTCCAAAAGTTTCTATAAGACTCACAGAAAAGATGTTCCACCATCAGCTGAATGTATCTCCAACATGCCTCCTCTGTTCTCTGGTTCTGATCCATGCTGCATGTATTTGTTGGTATCACTTGTGTCATTTTGGTATTGTTTAAAGGAATCCTGCTTTTCACTGTCTGTCTGTCTGTAGTACCTGCGCAGAGAGTTAGACAGGTGTTGTGGAGCCTTCGACTGGTCTGCAGTCAGACAGGTGGACGCTGCAGGTTTGCTGAAGCTCTTCATCAGAGAGCTGCCAACACCTTTGCTGACCCACACTCACCTGTCCACCTACCGCTCAGTGCTGGGTACACACACCTCGCTCTCTAATTGGACNCACACTCACCCACACTCACCCCCTCCCCTCCTCCCACACACTTGCCGCTCGGCGGTCGGTCGAGACAAGCTGATTGGCTGCTGCGGGACACTCCGTACTCGGAGGGCGTGGCAGAGCACAAAAGGGGCGGGACTTGCTGGGACTGCCTACGTTTCCATGGAGACAGTGAGCTGCAGGTGAGTGTGATCTGCTGCATGCTGGGAGGGACAGTCTCCTCCCACTCAGACCTGCCCAGTGGTTCCTGATTGGTTGTAGTTTGTACCTGTCTCTCCCCCCGAGGGTCTCACCTGTGCAGACGACCTGTCGTCACGTGACCTCACTCGGCTCGGCTACATCTCCCACATCGAGCTGTCCACCTTCCTGCTCACTCTGGGTGTCCAAACCAAACGCACCCGCCCGCCGCGCCGCAGGACCTGGGGTGCGCTTCATTTTTACATCACTGTTTGAACGCAGGTTTGAGACAGCACACAGAAGGCTTTAAACCAATAGGATGTCAGATCGGTTAGAGGAGGCCGCTGATTGGATGGTTGGTGCAAGTGACATCCTTCACTTTTGTTCTAATGGTGCTTTATGTGGTCCA